CATCGTTTTGGCAGATTTTCCTATTAAAACATTCTAAAAAGGTGATATTATTGCGTGGGTAGGTCTTCATGTGCATAAATTAACAGCTAAGTGTTGTTACATCTGGGCTGTGACTGGGAATTCTGTCAGTGTGGCAAATATCCAATCAGGCTTTGCTCCTCGTAGTAAAACAGGAAAAGTGGCTTTTAAGTTATTAAATTTATCAGCCGCTGCAGTTGCTGAAAACCCCTTTTTTTTAAAAATCACCCGCCAAATTTCTGATGTGTGTGTTGGTTTTTAAATTGATTAGTGTGTGTGTGTCTGTGTGTGTGCGTTTCACAGGGAAAGAAACAACGGCAGCTCCTCCCTTCTAGCAGATCGCAGAGTTAACCCTCTCAGCAACGGGTGGCTCGAGATCGCTAACGTCACCCACGGCGATGACGGGATCTACACCTGCACTGTGCCAAATTCCAATTTGTCAATCAGCGTTGAGCTGGAAATATTCAGTCAGTGACTCTCACATGCTTAGAGACATAGCAACTCTTGGCAACTTTATTTAATACTTGTACCTCCTGCAGCTTGTCTCAGCATTGTATTGTTTGCTTTCTTCTGCAGATAGGACCGTGATTCAGTCACCCCCACAGGCTCTGAAGGTCCGGGCTGGAGAGAGAGCCATTTTCACCTGCACGGGCCTCGTTGACCCCAGACTCGACCCTCCTTTCATTCAGTGGAGAAAGAACAACCAGAAGCTGGCTGATTCCAACAGTGATGAAAAGTGAGACATTTTGATATCTTAAAATAAAGAGGATCATTTTGGAAATCATGAAAGGATGATTATGCTTGTGAGCCATTTGTTTGTTGGGGTGGGGAATGAAGAGTTAGAGGGGAAGGATGATGATAATAAATTGTAATTCATGATGACGATGACTGTATTTCCTCAGGTATACAATGGAAGGACCGGATCTCAAAATAACGAATGTGCAGCCAGATGATGAGGGAGTGTACACCTGTGAGATCATCACAAAACTGGATGTAGCAGAAGCCAGGGGTACCCTCACCTTATGGGGTAAGACCACTGACCACATATGACCACAAACCCTGTAAACAACAGGC